GCGCCCGTACGTCCCGACGTCACAGGGACCGGAACACGGAAGCCGGATGCCGGCATCGGCCGGAGGAGATGGCCGGGGACGCTGCAGGGGACACATCGCGGGAGCGAAGGACAAGGTAAGTGCTGCAGGGACTCCCTGAGCAACGCCGCATGGTAAGCCCGAGTGTAGCTCGGGGTTACCGCTCTTGGTACTGAAATCTTACCCCGAGCTACACTCGGGAATACGGCCAGGGAGGTTAAGGCACTGAGCAAAGACAGATTTGAAGTAGTAAAGTGTATTAGTTGGCATAATTGTCTGTAAGCAAGAACAACTCCCTCTCTCTTGGTGAGAAGCGCCACAGGCAACAGTAGTAGATATCCCGTCAACTGGGAAAGGGTAAATTTCTGTATTCTGGCCTACAGCTGTGTGTCCTGTGGTCAGCTTGGATGATGAGATTGTAATGCAATGTGTTCCAACGGTGTTGACTGGGAGAGCTAGGCCACAAGCTAGGGTAACTAAGTGTAATGTCCACAACTATGTGCAGGTAGATAGCAAATGTGAAAGAATTGTCAATGTTCTCTTAGTTAATGGATGTATGGGACTCTCTCACCCAATTAGCAGTGTCCAGTAGGTCTTAACGGTCCGTCTTTCTCTTCAGGTGGGGGCCCCCACAGACTCTCTGGTCCTTATTTGGCATCCAGACGGGTTTCCTGTTTGCAAATTGACTCACTGGGCAACGTAGCGCGACTGACGATCAGCAGGCTCTTTCCGCTTCTCCTCCCTCTCTGGCTCTGGCTCCGCGGCCTGGTTCAAAACTGCAGCTGTCAGCACACTTCCTCTTCTCTCGATCTCTCCTCTCTCACTTCCTGATCATTCTCTTGGTCTTTTAGTTATATATGCCCCCATTCACATGCAAGCTCCTCTGGGAAATGTAGTTCCCAGGTGCACTGTTCTTCAGTAAAGTCCTAGCGTACAAGTTCCACCACTGCCATCTTGTGTTGACTTCAACATCCTGGATTAGACATTTATAGCAGGATGTTACATATAAAATAGTATGGCTTATTATCTCTGAATAAAACTGTCCTGCTGCTTGCCAATTGTACACTTCTGTATCCTTTGCAGTATCTTACTTCTTGTAGTAAAACTCCCACCTGTTCCCCTTTGTCTCTATTTGGGCCTAACATTGCTTATTATAATTGTTCTGCTACTAGCGACTTTTACACTACACTGTCATTTCTGGTCACTTGATGCTTGTGGTAAAATACCTGCCTGTACTCTCTATGGTTGATCTACTAAAACTGGAGCATGCAAAATTTGGTGCAGCTGTGCATGGTAGGCAATCAGCTTCTAATTTCAGCTTGTTTAATTAAGCATTGACAAAAAAAACCTTGAAGCTGATTGGTTTCTATGCAGAGCTGCAGCAGATTTTGCACTCTCCAGTTTTAGTAAATCAATCCCTTTGTCTCTAGTAAATGTTTTGCACATTCTACCTCAGTGGTCTCCAAACTGCGTCCCTTTGCTAGCCTTTATCCGACCCTTGGGTAACTATTCCTAACACTGACACCAAAAGTGGGGCATAATTCCCCCAACTGACACCAGCAATGGTAGTCTATTCTTCCCACTAATATCAATGATGGGGCTCTATTCCATCCACTAACATCAATGATGGGCCAATGTTCCTTCCAGTGATAGCAATGATGAGGCACTAATCCTCCTCCTACTGACCACAAGCACTGTGCAATTGAACACCACACCTAAAACCTTGCTTACTCTCCTTAATGTTGGTCCTGAGACTTTTTCTACCCCCGCTGGCCACAATCCACAACCCCTAAAATCTGAAGGACAGTAAGCTGGCCCTTTGCTTAGAATGTTTGGAGACCCCTGCTCTACAGTATCATAATTCTTGTAATAAAACCCCAGCCTGCGCCATTTGTCTCTTGTAGATTTGGGGTTAGTCTTCCTCATTAAAACTGTTCTGCTGCTTGCCACTTTTACACTACTGTATCATCTGCAGCCTTTCTTGTAGCAAAACACCTGCCTATACTCCTTTTCTCTAGTACATTTTGGCCAATTCACTCTCATTAAAAATGTCTTGCTGTTGACCAATTTTACACTACTGTATTATCTCTGGTCTCTTTGTTCTTGATAAAAGAAATAGAAATTGGCTGTCAGCAGGACAGGTATGCACCAGTGAGAACAGGAGCCTCAGCGAACTAACGGTTCATTTTTATCTCCTAGTCAATGTTGACCAATTACTGTATTGTATTGGGCCAGTCCTCCAAATCATTGGATTCAGGTGCCCCAATCACCTCCATGGACACAGGTGTATAAAATCAAGCAACTAGGCATGCAGACTGCTTCTACAAACATTTGAGAAAGAATGGGTCGCTCTCAGGAGCTTGTGAACTGGAAGAATTCACACACACCTAACCCTTCTGAGTCTATACAGATTTTAAAAACAAATTATGCCTATTAGGAAAAATAAGATCACCAGATTCAATCACCAATGGAAACCTTGAGCGAGCTGGAATGGCAGAGATGGAGTTGAGGATCTATAAAAAGTGATACGATCATACTTGACTACTACCTATACTTATGTATTCATACATTATTGAACGTACTTCTACTTTACCTTTTTTTTTTTTCCCTGCCCTTTTGGACGATGATCTGTGCTACAATGCTAATGTACAATGATTGCTGGTATATTTCTTTCTATATTTTTTTCTCCGCTTTTTGCTGTTTAGAATGGGGTGCTTAAAAAGATCTGAATATATCTATATACTCTGTACATATAGATGTTGAATGGACCATGTAGTTCTCTGGTCTAATCGTAGACCTTTTTTCTTGTAATATGTAAAAATCCTAATAAAAATCTATTGTTAAAAAAAAAAACATCAAAACAAAGCTCAAGGACTGGTTGCTGTCTCCTGGCTGCAAGTCTGAATGAAAATGCGTGTGTGGCCTGGCTGTGCAAGACTATAGAGGGACCCAAAACTTTAGCAACTCCTAAGGGGGGTAGTGCTAGAGAGAGAGAGAGGGAGAGAGAGAGAGAGACTGTATATCTATCTGTCTCTCTACATTAATACATGTCCCTCATTGTAGTGACACGCTTCTCATTCTTTTTTCAGTCATTTTATAGTTTAGTTATAGAAACTTCGTAGTTTTTTTTTTTAGTAGAAAATAGATGTTTTCTTTACAGCCCTAAAAAATGAATTTATTACCAGGATTTGTCCGTTAGCAAATCAAACCTGGGCAGGTTAGGGCTACTTTCACACTGCTTCACTGCAAAAACACATAGCGATTTTGCCATGTTTTTGGTGCATTTTTCACCTGTGAAAAAAAGACTTGAACATTCGATTCTAAAAAAGGCACCAAAAACACAACCACGGGTGCGTGTTTGCTGCGTTTTCCTTTCATTTCAATAGAGAGGCATGTTTTTGGTGCATTTTTTTTTTTTTACCGCACCAAACATGTTCCAAAATCCACAATGAACTCGCAACTGACTAGCGTGAGGTGTTCCAGAAGATGTTTCTTCAGTTTACATCCATTTTTCTTCAGTTTACATCCATTTTTCTTCAGTTTACATCAGTTTATTTTACATCCTTTATCAATGCAAAAATGGACCATATGTCTGTTTACATCTGTTTTTTGTCTGTTTTTCATCCGTTTACATCCATTTTTTGTCCGTTTCTGGGTTGTTTTTTACAGAAGAAAATAGGGTCCTTTCACACGGGTGTTCCGTTTTTTTCATCAGTTCAGTCACGTTTTTTTACAAGAAAAGATGGATCAGTTCATATCAGTTCACATTAGTTTACATCTGTTTTTCCATCAGTTTACATTCATTTTTCATCAGTTTAGATCAGTTTTTTTTACATCCTTTACCAATGCAAAAACGGACAATATATCCGTTTAAATCTGTTTTTTTCATCCGTTTTTCGTCCACTTACATCTAATTACATCCGTTTTTTTGTCTGTTTGTTTTTTTATGGAAGAAAAATAGGGTCCTTCCTCGTGGGCATTTCCTTTTTTCATCAGTTCAGTCACGTTTTTTCCAAGGAAAAACATTAGTTTTTCATCAGTTCACATCAGTTTACATTCATTTTCTATCAGTTTACATCCGTTTTTCATCAGTTTAAATCAGTTTTATCATCAGTTTACATCCATTTCCATCCATTTTCTATCAGTTTACATCCATTTGTCATCAGTTTACATCCGTTTTTCATCAGTTTGCATCTTTCTTTTACATCCTTTTCCAATACAAAAACGGACCATATGTCCGTTTACATCCGTTTTCCATCCACTTACATTTGTTTTTTGTACTTTCTGTGATTTTTTTTTTTTTTACGGAAGAAAAATAGGGTTTCTTCCGTTCAACAAAATGGATGTAAACAGATGATCATCCGCTAGTCCATCCGCTTTCATCTGTAAATGGACAGATGAAAAATCAGCACGCCCATGTGAAAGGGGCCCAACTCATTCCTACTGAAGAGAAAGCAGGGCCTTAGCAACGCTGGAGCTGTGCATGGCAACCAATCAGCTTCTATCTTAAGCTTGTTCAGCTAAACTTTGGAATTGAAATGTAGAAGCTGACTGGTTGCCACCCACCTGCTCCAATTTTGATAAATTCTCCTCATAGCCTGGGCGGGAGATATAAAAGAAAACCTCCACACAGGGGCGGACTGACCATTTGGAAACTCGGGCACTGCCCGAGGGCCCGGGGTCAGTGGGGGGGCCCATAAGATGCCCCTGGTACCTTTTACATAGGCTTTTTTGATTTTGGGCAAGGACACAGGGGCCCCATGATCCCCTATTGCCCGGGGGCCCCATGAGTTGTCAGTCCGCCCCTGCCTCCACCTTTTTCTCAACATCTGCTAGAGGACAGCTTTGCTACTGGCCACTTCGGTAGTAGTACATTACAGAGCAATCGCGGCAGCCAGCAGGGGGAGAACTACAATGCCCGGCATGCTTTGCTCCTCGAATGTCATCACTGTGCGCTGGAAGGACGTCGTTACTATGGTGACGGGCGAGTCGCTCGGAGCCGTCGCATCCCGGAGTGTAGGGGTATAGGAGCTATGCCTCGCTCCAGGTACCGGGGTACTAATACTAGAGGTGGGGGGAGGGGGTCTAGTGGTCCATATGAGGCCTCATTGGCTGTCTCAGCAAAGTTCACACGTGACCTCTATAATGTAATATTGTTATCAGTGGCTGCCAGTGGTGGACAAGTCACCAAAATCAGTGGCAGCAGCCAATCACGTGACAGGACCGCAGGCAGCTGCAATCTGATTGGTTGCTGTGAGCTTTGACGCTTTTCGTGTCACAGTTGATGTGTCCAGCGCGCCATTATACAGCTGATTTACATCTATGTGCCACAGGAACGCAGCGCACTGCAAAACATGCGCTGACACCTTCTGGTGCCGTTCATTCTGTCACCGCCCACGTTCATCATCGCGGCCACTTAGGCAGCGTTCACGTTTGTGCGTTGTAGGGATCACGTTTGTGCGTGTGGCACGTTTTCTCAAAAAGGGGCGGGGACTGCTTTTAAAGCGTTTCTCGTGCGTAGGGCAGCTCGCTGAAATGAATGGACTACCCTACAGGCAACGCTGAGGACCGCACACACGCTCCGAGCCTTACCTGAAAGGGTTTACTGCCCCTCTGAAAGGCTGAATGCTCAGAGTCGCCCCCTAAAGCCTTTTAGGCCTCATGCACACTTAAAGTGTTACTAAACCCACAACAGTAAAATCAGTCTGTAGATGCAGTAAAGCATGCTTGTTATACTCAATGTGGAACCTAAGGGGTTAATCCTCTGCATTGCGTAAAAAGGCTGTTTGATCTGGACTTGTCTGATCCTCCCCTTCTTCTACTGTCCCCAATTCATCTGCTGATAGTACAGAGCTCTAGGAGACACTCTGATCATGCTCGGTTTGGTGTGTATTGATAGTGAGTTTTTCATTTTCTTTGGGAGAGTGCATGTGATCAGCACAGGGCCAATCAGCACTATCCAGACAGAGATCAGGGGTTCTGCATCCTCCTAGAGCTGAATGAAAACAACTCCTATAAACTTTAAACCAGTGCTCTGCTGAACACTGATAGAAGTCAGAAGACTGCTATATACTGATGATGATGGTATTTAGCAGTTTATATTTACTAAAATAATTGCATTACTGTGTACTGTAGGAGACCAGATATAGTGAATGCAGGGTCCGGGGAGACCAGATATAGTGGATGCAGGGTCCGGGAAGACCAGATATAGTGACTGCAGGGTCCGGGAAGACCAGATATAGTGGATGCAGGGTCCGGGAAGACCAGATATAGTGACTGCAGGGTCCGGGGAGACCAGATATAGTGGATGCAGGGTCCGGGAAGACCAGATATAGTGGATGCAGGGTCCGGGGAGACCAGATATAGTGACTGCAGGGTCCGGGGAGACCAGATATAGTGAATGCAGGGTCCGGGGAGACCAGATATAGTGACTGCAGGGTCCGGGGAGACCAGATATAGTGAATGCAGGGTCCGGGGAGACCAGATATAGTGAATGCAGGCTCCGGGGAGACCAGATATAGTGAATGCAGGGTCCGGGGAGACCAGATATAGTGACTGCAGGGTCCGGGGAGACCAGATATAGTGGATGCAGGGTCCGGGGAGACCAGATATAGTGACTGCAGGGTCTGGGGAGACCAGATATAGTGGATGCAGGGTCTGGGGAGACCAGATATAGTGGATGCAGGGTCCGGGAAGACCAGATATAGTGAATGGGTTTTTTATTTTTTTATTATAAAATTGAAAAAAAGAACATTTTGAAAAGAAAACTATATTTTATACTTTCTGTTATAAAACATGCCAAAAAAAAAAAATCGTATTTCTTCATAAATTTAGGTCAAAATGTATTCTTGGACATGTCTTTGGTAAAAAAAAATTCCAATAAGTATATGTTAATTGGTTTGCTTCTACAAATGATGGTAAATACTGGAATTTTTTTTCTTTTATACTAATAATGGTGATGATCAGTGACTTATAACGGGATTGCGATAGTGCTGCTAGCGGGCAATCTGACACTAACTGATACTTTGTGGGAACTACTAACTGTCACTGACACCACCAATGACACCAATACAGTGATCAGTGATATTACTGTTTCTTTATTGTACATCACGGGACACATGCTATTTATGACTATGTGGAGTTATAGGACACCTATAGGTGAATGGACACTGTCCGACCAATCAGAGAGGAGGTCCTCCATTATAACCCCTCTTTATACAGGAAGTACTTCAGTTTTTTCGACAGTGTCTGTAAGGTGGATGGTCACTGAACGTGTTGCTGTGCTTTTGGAGCATACCTGAAAGTCCAGAACGGTTCCATTAGAGAATCAGTGACTTTAATCGGATCCATTTGGAAAGCTGTGAGCCAAAATGGATGGTACCTGAGCCTCGCTGGATAAGGAGAAGAATCCTCAAGGTTTTGCCTGTAATGTAGCCTTACGGCGCTGGACCGCGCGCAGATAGAACCCTGTGCAGTTTAAATCTGCCCAAGGTGCTTCCAGCAGGGTGTTAAACGGGCCCAAGGCAGTGGCCCCTCAGCATGGGGACTGAGTCCTTGAAGGTCTGTATGACAATGCTCTCCGTGATGGGTGAAGGTTGGTGCCTGACGGAAGCCAGGAACCTGCGGCGGGACTGGTAAAAGATCTCCTCCTTTTTTTCTCTCTGTAAAGAGAAACAAACAAAGCTCTGTTGTGACTTTGAGTTTGCATCAGGGGGAGTGCTCGCAATTGTCCCTGAGATGTGCTTGCTGTTCTGTTTTCGACCACTAGAGAGGGTACAGCCGGCGTGCGTGCATGCGCAGTCGTGGCCAGAAACTGAAGTCGGCCATATTTATCTGGAGGCCAGGACACACGTGGGCTGCTGCTGCTGGGGAATCTCCTGTGGCCAGGACACAGAGCGGGCTATTCGGTAGGGGGACGTGAATACTCCCCTGAGGGGGGAAGGTGGACCAGTCAGTCAGGAGCCGCCCTAGGTGTTTCATAAGGCAACATTTGCATTGAGTGTTTGTACTTCAGTACACTACTTGCATAGCTATATCTTGAGATCTGTGTTTACTAGTGAAGGTGCACAGGTTTGCACTGAAGTGATGTCTTCCAGAAAGCATAGTGGGGGGGGGGGCTGCAGCAGGAAAGGGCACTAGTGTACCACCGTTGGGTCCTGAGGAACCTAGCCCGAAGGTCCTCTGTAATATCCTCTCCTGACAGGCCAGAAGCGACTGGGCAGTCTGAGTCGCTGTGTCTATCCGGCATTGTGGCTGCTACTGGGACATCTGCCTCAGCTTATGTAACCAAGGATGATCTAGTGGGTTTAAAAGATACGTTTGCTGGGATATTGCATCAGTTTCTCAGGGGACTAAGAAATGGGATAGATCCCTGTCACTAGAACCACCAATGCTGGAGCAGGAATGGGTGGAGCCTGAGGATGAGGAAGAGCTGGAGGAAGGTCAGGAATTTCTGAGGAGTCACAACCTGAGGAGAAGGAGGTGGTCTCTGGCTCCCAGTACTGGAGATGTTTAGTCCAGGAGTTCACTGATATGGTAAGGTCTGGATTCGGACTTCCTCCAATAGAAACCTCTGAGGTTACTTATTCTTCCCTGGGCTTTTTGAAGCCTTTGCAGAGTACTCACGCATTTCCGGTGCATCCTCTTTTGGAGCAAATTATGTATGCCGACTGGGATCACCCATTCAGGGTTCTTGTACTCCATGGAACAAAAGCTTGTTAAGAAATGGGGGTTGCCTGTAGTGGATACAGCTGTTTCATCCCTGAATAAATCTTTAACATGTCCTGTGGATAATATACAGGTCTTCAAGGGCCCAGTGGATAAGAAGCTGCAGTCTCTCTTTAAGGCTTCCTCCTCCCTGGCAGGTTCTGCACAGCCAGTCTTTCTGACCATATCAACCAATGAATTGGAGGACCATCAGTGCAGGGGGAATGGTTGGTCGAGGATTTGGAGGATGTTTCACGGATGATACTCTTAAGGACTCAATTCAGCAAATTTCTCACTTGGCACTCTTATCAGTACACATGTGCAGGGTTTTGTAGCTGAAGAGTTAGCCAGCAGAACTACCATGCAAAAAATTGTTGGCAGGTTTTCCTTTTCATGGAGAACGACTGTTTGGGGAAGATTTGGACAAATATATACAAAAGATTTCAGGGGGTAAGGGTACTCTTCTACCCTCTAAGAGGAAATCCAAACCCCCTTCTTTTAAAAGTGTCAGGGGCTTCAGTTGCTAGGCCCTCATCTACCAGGCAGTCATTTCGCCACACACAGGTCCCAGCCTCCACAGGTAGATCTCAGAATGAAAACCCAAGGAGGCCCTGGGTGCAAAAGTCATCTAAGTCAAATCCATGGTGCGCTCCCTTATGAAGGGGCGCCCCTACTTGTTCGGATGGGGGGAAGTCTTTTGAATTTTGTTGCCCCGTGGAGGGCTATAATCCAAGACAAATGAGTCATTTCCATGATTTCTCTGGGGTACAGGCTATAATTTTTGGTATTTTCCTTTCCTGAGATCCTAAGTTTCTAAGATCAAATGTACCAATAAATCCAGAGAAAAGAAGAGCTTTATTTCAGGCAATCGATTGCCTATTGACTCAAGGAGTGATCATGGAGGTTCCAGTGGTTGAAATATTTCAGGGGTTTTATTCAAACCTGTTTACAGTCTAAAAACCAAATGGGGATGTAAGGCCCATTTTGGATCTCAAGGGGCTAAATCAGTTCCTAAATGCCTGATCCTTTTGTATGGAATTGGATCGGTCAGTAGTGGCCTTCCTACAGGGGGGAGATTTTTTGGCATCCATAGACACCAAGGATGCATACCTGCATGTACCAATATTCATTCCTCACCAAAGATTTCTGCAATTTGCAGTAGGGGCTCATCATTTCCAGTTCATACCACTACCTTTTGGGCTGGCCACATCTCCCAGGGTTTTCACAAAAATTCTTGCTCTGGTGTTGGGGCTACTCAGAACTTGGGGAGTATCGGTCACAGGTTATCTAGATGATCTCTTGCTCAGAAATTGGTCTGTACCAGATCTGAAGCAGGATGTGGTCCTTACGATTCAGATCCTGGAACAGCTGGGCTGGGTGTTTAACCTCAAGAAGTCGGCCCTGGAACCAGTGCAGAGCCTGGAGTATTTGGGAATGGTCCTAGACATGGTGCAGGCAAAGGTATTTCTGCCTCCAGGGAAATGTTGCGCCCTGAGGAACAAGTTTTGCAGTTTGAAGACCAAGAGGTATCCTTCAATTTGCCTCTGTATGAGATTGCTGGGGAAGATGGTGTCCTAGTCCGAGGCTCTTCCCTATGCTCAATTCCATTCCAGACTGCTGCAAAGGTACATTCTGTCTGTTTGGAACAAAAATATTCCGGCCCTGGATTACTGCATATCTATATCTCCAGAGGTGCAGTAGAGCCTGAATTGGTGGTTAATAAAACACAATTTGGAGAAGAGAAGATCTTTTCGGCCAGTGGTGTAGAAGTTGGTAATCACTGATGCCAGCCTTTCAGGTTGGGGGGGGGGGGGCATTCTGGAGGAGGCTTCACAGTTCAGGGAACATGGCTTCCACGGGAAAGGGTTCTTCCCATCAATATCCTGGAACTTCAAGCCATGAGGCTGGCTCTAAGGTGTTGGACATCCAGGCTTCAGGGTTGGCCTTTAAGGATTCAGTCCAACAATGCCACAGCAGTTGCATACATCAACCACCAGGGTGGTACCAGGATTCGAGCTGCTCAGAAAGAGATTAACTACATTCTGACCTAGGCAGAGAGATGTTCCAAATCTGTCAACAGTGTTCATTCCAGGTGTGGAAAATTGACAGACTTATCTCAGCCGCCGACAGTTGATTCCAGGGGAAAGAGTTTTGTATCCCAATGTTTTCAAGGAAATCTGCCAGCGATGGGGTTGTCCGGATGTAGATCTATTGGCATCCAGGTTCAACAACAAGGTCAGTCTTTTTGTGTCCAGGGTAAGGGACCCTCGCGTGGCAGGGGTAGACACCTTAGTGATTCCTTGGAGCCAGTTCTCACCGATTTATGCCTTTTCTCCAATCCACCTGCTGTCACATCTCTATTCCTGTAATTCTGATTGTTCTGGCCTGGCCCAGGAGGGCCTGGTACGCGGACACAGTGAAGATGACAGTAGATGGGCCGTATCCGATGTATCGGCCAAACTTGTTGTCTCAAGGTTCTATATTGCAGATTCTGTCAGTCATCCCCATCATGTTGAGTGCTAGAAAAGGAAGTTTCTAGTAACATTTATTACAGAATGAAGGCTTACATTGCATGGTGTGAGGTTCACAAATTGCACCCACGAAAGTATGTGATTGGCAGAATTCTGTAATTTCTTCAAACAGGGTTGCAGAAGAATTTGGCTGTTGGTACCATTAAGGGCCAGGTTTCAACATTAGCTATTTTTTTCCAGAGGCCCATTGCGTCTCACTCTTTGGTCTGCACTTTTTTACAAGGAGTGATGTGTATGGCTCCTCCTGTCAGGTTGCCTTTGTGTCCTTGGGACCTGAACTTGGTTTTGGAGGTTTTGCAAAAGCTACCATTTGAACCTACTGGAGAGATTCCACTGGTCCTGTTGACTTGTAAGGTGTCGTTTCTAGTGGAAATCACTTCTACGAGAAGGGTGACGGAGCTGGCAGCTCTGTCTTGCAGAGAACCATTTCTGGTTTTGCATCATGATAAGGTGGTGTGTTGCTTCATCCATGCTTTTTACCAAAGGTGGTTTGTAGCTTTCATCTCAACCAGGACATCATTCTGCCTTAATTCTTTCCTAGGCCACAGTCAGCAAGAGAAAGATCTCTGCATACCTTGGATGTGGTACGTGCTGTAAAGGTCTTCTTGAAGGCGACTGCACAGGTCAGGAGGTCAGATGCTCTATTTGTGCTGCTAGAGGGGCCTAAGAAGGGGCAGGCTGTATCCAAGGCGACAATTTTTTTTCATTGGATCCGCTATATTAGCTTGAGAATTCACAGTATTTGTTCAGTGTGGAACAAATGTTTTTTTTCACTGAGGATATGAGCACGCTGGAAAATTTATGAAGTTTGTGTTAGAGTTCTATATATTTTTCGTCACAAATTTTTGGGACATTGGACTTTAATTTGGGACTTTTGCTTGTTGGACTTTGATATATAATTTTTTACATTTTTTATTATTTGTATTATTTGCGCTGTGTCACTTTATGAGTATATTCATTCTCCCAGGAGACAAGCTGCTTGAGAGGAGATATTATAATACCTCAATGGTGATTTTGACATAAGGAGCAAACTATTCAGTCTCAGGGAGTATAAGAAGAGACGCGGCCACTCAATGAAATTGGAGGAGAAGCGGTTTAACCTTAAACTGCGTAGGGGATTTTTCGTTGTCAGGGCGGTAAGGATGCGGAACTCGGTTCTGCAATCAGTAGTGTTAGCGAAAAATATTGATAGTTTCCAAAAACTTAGATGGGCACCTTAGCAAGCACAATATACAGGGATATGGGATTGGTCTTTTAACATGAACACACATCCACATAGGTTGAACTGGATGGACTGGTGTCTTTATTCAACCTTGCCAGCTACCACCTTACCAACTGGAACTATGTTAAGTTAATACAGAGGGAATGATCATTTTGTTTCTTTTCCCTGCTAAGCAGGGAAAAAGAAACCAATCGATGTTTAGTGAAAGGCAACACATATTAACACTTATGCACACATTTATGCCCTGATTGCTCTTAGATGTTAACCCTTGCTTTAGTACAGTAAGAGTGTATGGTATTATCACAAATCACTGTATTAGTGTCACTGAAGGTGTCATTTAGTCAGTTCCTACAAAGTGTCAGTTAGTGTCAGATTGCCCTCCGCGCTATCACAGTCCCACTATAAGTCGCTAAAAAAAATTCCATTATATGTGGTCACATGATCCCCTTGTGTCAGTCAACAGCAGTTGCAGGGGAGAGGGGGGAATGCGGACAACGGGCGGGTCATGGGAGCCTATGGGTGATGTCACCGCTTCCAGATTTCCATGTTGTTATCAAGCTCTCTATCTACTGAAGCTGCCCCGCTGACACGGGAATCATGTGATCAGACTGAAACGTGCTGAAAATAAGTAAGTATACACATCTTTCTCACACAGGTTAGTCAGCAGAGGTGTTAGGTGGAGGGAGAGGGCATTTTTTAGACTAGTTAGGTTTATGCTGGAATGCTACCTTAATGTTTGCACATCAAAGCCGCACATAGCTTCCGTTGGAATAAAAACTGCTTTGTTCCAGCCCAATACCACCACACCCCACCCAATCTTCTGATGCGTTTCGCCCCCTAGCAGAGCATAATCATAGGGCAAGAGGATGTGGGAAATGCTATATGTGTATATACTATATATTGCCGAATATTTTTAATAGTTAAAACTTTTTTTTAAACTAAAATGTTATCTGTGATTTTCTGACTTTTTTACTTTTGTCTTTAAAAATGTAAAGACAAGATTTCTGCTATACATAAAGGTTACTTTTTTTTTTATCAGTGATAATCTCTGGGACCTTGCAGTAGCAGAGGTGCAGAGGAAGGAAAATTCTGAAGATGACACTGAGGCATCTGCTGATTCGGAGAGATCTGTATTCTTTATAGGCAACAAAAATGGGGGTAAAGCGATTTTACAGCTGTCCTGTTCCAACCGTGTGCAATTTATATGGTTTTTCTATATTACTTTAACATGACCTTCGGAAGCGTTGGGCTACTTTCCCACTGATACGTAGCAAAATGTATTTTTGCTGCATTTTACCCTGTTTTTACCACATTTGCTGTACTTTATTCAGAGGACACGTGACTCAAAAACCACACCAAAAATGCAACTCGGGTGTATTTTTTGGTGCATTGTTTTATGCGTTTTTGTCATTGATTTCAATGTGAAGATGTGTTTTTGGTGCATTTTTTTTATCGCACCAAAAATGCAGCAAGCAGGATTTTAAAAAATGAACTATACCCACAACAGCTCAGTGTGAAGCGTTTCATAGGAATATATGGTCACACATTTTTCTTCCGCTTTTTTTTAATGCAAAAACGGATCAGTGTGAAAGCAGCCTTAGTGTCAGCACGTGAATCACCTGCTGGTGGCAGTGTGCTTCTCAGATTTGTAGTTCCAGTGGTCACCAGCAGGTGTCTCCAAGCAGCCAACAGATCCCAAGCAGATTAATCGGGTTTTGGCTGCTTGGAGGGTATTTAGTCCCTTTTCTGCTGTTACACTTTGCTTGCTGCCAGATACTGCTAGGCATTATCTTGTTCCTGCTCTTTGGTCATGCTCTCTGCCTTGTTCTTACTACCCCGTGTTCCTGATCCCAGTTTTGTTTACCTTGGTTTCCTGTGCTTCCCATTAGTATATATTGTATATAGTTAGTTTGATAGTTAGTGTTTCTGTTATGCTGTCTTTTAGTTAGGTATTTTGTCACTGGGTTTGTCACCAACAAAAATTTAGGGGTGCCAATATTTTTATATTGTTTGGTTCCAGGTTTCTAGTGTATCTACACAAATTTGGCCATCCTTGATGCTGATTCATGACAAGTACAACCACTTTTCAGTTTTCATTAAATTAGAAATATAGGCAAAACATACAGGGGTTAGATATAAAAATGGAAATTTATAAGATTTGCAGGTATGAAAGTGGCGACATGTTTCGCATTGACAGTGTAAGTAGTGTTATATTCTTTTGCTTCTGCTGTGTGATGAGACTCCTAGCTAACAGGTGGGAAGACTCACTTTCATCAATTTTCACACCTGCAAATTATGTAGTGTTTCGATTTTTTTTTTTTGTCCAACCCCTGTAGACCTGTATTATGTTGTACGGTGTACCCCAGCAGCACAGGACATCACGGCCATAATGTGCAGAGGGGGTCAGCATATTGAGCATTAATTCACCTTTAAGGTGACCTTACTCTTTTTAAATAACAATTTACTTTGCAGAAAATACTTAATCATGTGCAAAAATAAATAAACAATCCAGACTTTTCTATGCTCCATATAAATCACAAACATTTTGCTAGCCAATAGTCGCAAACTAATTCCAAATTTGTGTATAAATACAATCGCCATTTCTTGTGATACTAAACTATATTCTGGTACTGCATTCCTGCATTATTTTAATTAATTTTATGTTTCTATTCTAGGGAAAGACAACGATTATTCTTCGTTGCATTGACAGGTAGCAGTTAATATACTTTTTTTATGTTCAGTACATTAAATATAACATATAGTGACGTTCTTTGTTTCAGTTCAAATTCTTAGGCAACAGGTGAAGTTTTAGCAATATTTTAACAGGGTTTCTTATTTCCCTTTACCACCCATTCAAAAATATTCATTGTTTTACAGTGCGCAATAGCTGAAATTTACTTACACAAGTAAATGGCTCTTGTGAATGACTTTAGTAGTGGCTGATCCACCCCCATCCCTCACTATGTTTTTTTTAATGGGGGTTTCAATCAAAGACAGGGTGTCTATAAGGAAACACATTCTGCTGTGATCTCTCTTTACAACCTGTGCTCTAGGAATTCCTTGTCAGGGAAATACCCTGTATGAAATGTTTATTTGAAAAACAGATTTACTATACATAGTATACAAACAGATGTAGCACATTAGTAGCACAAACTTTAAAAAAAATGTAGTAAAATTTGTCTAAACCCCTTATAGTTTCCCTTTATATATGTAGCTACAGTATATTTAAATAGCTAGTACATTTCATGTAGTTACAGTATTTTTGTTTGGTAAGTTTTAATTATGTGTATCTATTCAATAAATCTACATAGCCAAGCTGCTTATGATCTTTATCACCAGCTGTAGAGTATTTATAAAGACTTTTTTGTTTTGTTTTGTTTTAAGAGATGAAGCACCTAAACCAACCCTAGCATTAGAATACACCTTTGGTAGGAGGGCAAAGGGGCACAATACGGTAAGAATCAATGGCAATCTTCAAATGCCTAATATGCTTGCAGATGCACTGCTGTCAATAGATGTTAAATCCTCAGTTTTGTTTTCATGAAGGCCTAAAGTGTTTGTAAACCTCCAACATGAAATATGAACAAAGCATATCCCTCTATAGTGTGTACTTGTCTCAATAAAGAGCACTAAGTGTCATTTCTGTCTGCTGCTTTGTTATTTTGCAAACAGCATGAATCATTTCTCACAAGTGTTTCTGACACCAAGAGAAAAATAGTGACAGAGGAGGGACCTCCAGCTGATTGACAGCCTCAGCTCTGTTCCTGTGTGAAGGGGGTGTGTCCCTTCCCTCCAATCAGCTCTCAGAGCTCTCCTTACTGAGCTCTGCAGAGTTTAATGTCAGCTTTCCATCCCCTTTTTTTTCTGGAAACTCAGATAAGCTTTATAAATTCCAGACTTTGAACAGATGTAGAGAAGAGAAGCCAGGGCATTCACTTCACTGGGTATATACTGTACAAGGGTTTACAACCACTTTACCTCTAGAATCACCTCCTTCCCAGCCAATCACATCGCTCCCCTTCCCCACTGGAGTACCTGCAACTGAATGTTAGCTGTGTTTTTTGTGTGATAATACTGAGTTTAGAAAAAAGTCTTCAGGCTGATCATGTGATGACCGGGTTGAGAAAACGTAAGTGCTGCTCTTTGCAGCACTGATGCACTGTCACATAATACTGTGCCTTCACGATATTGTCTTTTACTGATTGTCATTTAACCTCTTTATGACTGAGACACAAATATATGTGGCGTAAGGCTAGGTTCACTCCTATGAGTTTTGCAGAAACACACTACAGTCCATTTAACATGATTTCCTATGAGCCACATTCATATATGTGTGTTTTCAAGCAGTGCGTGTTTTGGAAAGGGTCAGGGGCTCTTTTGCCCAAGGCAGGTTGCATTTTTGGTTCCATAGACTTCAATGGAAGCATAACCGAAACACCTTAAAAAGACAGTGGTTACGTTTTGGATGCACTTTTGCTGGTTTCGCCTATATGACAACAGACACTTCCCAAAACGCATTGGGTTAACGCATCAACCACAACCTGCATAGGTGTAAACCTAGCTTTAATGAATATATGTCTTATCTATCTATCTATCTATCTATCTATCTCTCTTCCTGTAGGATAAGGCCTCCATTTCTAGGTCCACATCTTTCCTGGTAGTCAGACCTTGTTATTAGTGTCAGCTGTGTACAGGCCTTTATACAGTTTAGGTCCATATATATTTGGACACAGGCACAATTTTAGTTATTTTCAGGTATTTACCAAAACATATTCAAGCTATAGTTATATAATGGATAATTATTATTATACAGGATTTATATAGCACCAACAGTTTGCGCAGCGCTTTACAAAATGAAGGTAGACATTACAGTTACAATACAATTTGGTACAAGAGGAAACAGAGGGCCCTGCTCATTTGAGCTTACAATCTAGGAGGAAGGGTTGAGTGATACAAAAAGTAATAGCTGTGGCGGGGATGAGCTGATGGAGGAAATAAATGGCGGGTTACTAGGTAGAAGCAGCATAGGCTTCTTTAAAGAGAGCTTTTCAGGGATCGTCTAAAGGTGGATAGATTAGGAGACAGCCGGACAGATTGGGGTAGAGAGTTCCATAGAATGGGAGAAGCTCGAGAGAAGTCCTGGAGGTGAGCATGGGAGGAGGTGACACGGGAACTAGAGAGCAGAAGGTCTTGGGAGGATCGAAGAGAGCGGTTTAGTTGATATTTTGAGACCAGGTTGGTGATGTAGCTGGGGGCAGAGTTGTGGATGGCTTCTTAAGTTGTTGTTAGTATTTTGAATTTTATTCGTTGAGTGAGTGGAAGCCAGTGGAGGGATTGGCAGAAAGGGGTAGCAGACACTGAATGGTTGGTTAGATGGATGAGCCTGGCAGAAGTTTTCATGATGGACTGGAGAGGGGATAGCCTATGTAAAGGTAAGCCAATGAGGGGGAGTTACAGTAATCGAGTCGAGAGATTACCATCGAGTGAATTAGGAGCTTTGTGGTATCATTGGTTAAAAAGGGGAGTATTCTGGAGATGTTGCGGAGGTTGAGGCGACATGATTTGGACAGGGATTGGATGTGGGCCTGAAAGGATAGTTCAGAATCCAGGGTTACACCTAGCACCTTGGCATGCGGGGATGGGTTGATAGTGGTGCTATTGATCCTGGCTGAGAAATCAGGGGAAGAGGCACATGGGGGAGGAAATATTATGAGCTCAGTTTTAGATAGATTGAGTTTTAGGAAGTGGAGTGACATCCGGTCTGATATGTTTGTTAGTAAATCGGTGATACATGTGGAAACTGATGGGGTGAGCTGAGGAGTAGAGAGATTTGTGTGTCATCAGCATAGAAATGGTATTGGAAACCATGGGAATCTATCAGCTGACCGAAGGAAGAAATGTAGATCGAGAATAGGAAAGGTCCAAGGACAGAACCTTGGGGGACCCCGACAGTAAGAGTAGGAGAGGAGGAAGTGACACTGAAGGTGCGGTGAGATAGGTAAGATTCAAACCATCTGAGAGTATAGTCACGGAGACCAAGTAAATAGAGTTTTTTGAGGAGGAGGGGGTGGTCAACTGTCTCAAAGGCAGCAGAGAGGTCCAAGAGCAAGAGTACGAAATAGTGACCATTGGTTTTACTGGTTAGTAAGTCGTTTGTGAGTTTTAGGAGAGCAGTTTTTCTGTGGAGTGTTGTGGGCGAAATCCAGACTGAAGGTTATCGAGAAGGTTATTTTAAATAAGGTGGCAGCTCAGCCGGTTGTAGATTAGACGTTCAAGGAGTTTGGAGGCAAAAGGGAGTAAGGAGATGGGTCTTAGGTTGCCAAGATTGGCGGGGTCCAGTGAGGCTTTTTTAAGTATGGGGGTGACTAGCACATGTTTTAGAGAGTTAGGGTAGATGCCAGTAGAAAGGGAGAGATTAAAGATATGAGTTAAAGAATGAAGGATAGAGCCAGAGGGTGACCATAGTATTTGCGAGGGAACAGGGTCAGGGGGCAGGTGGTTAGGTGGGCTTTAGAAAACAGTTTACCAACCTCCTCTATAGTAGCTGGGTTAAACAAGGGAAGTATATATTGTGCAGGGACAAGGAGTGTAGGGTAAGGGAGATATCTGTACAGTGGAGATCTTGTCACGAATTGTATCAATCTTATTTTTGAAGTGATTAGCGATCTCCTGGGCAGTGAGTGAGTTAGTGGGTGGAGGTAAAGAAGGACGAAGTAGAGAGTTAAAGGTAGAAAAGAGTTGACAGGGATTGCGTGAGAGGGTGTTGCTGATAAAAGAGGTCTGTTTGGCAGTGTGGAGACAAGAATTGTATTTTTGAAGGGCAGAATATAGGCTGAACATGCACACTCTCAGGTTTCATTTGAGGGTATGTACATCCAAATTGGAGGAAGGGTTTAGGAATTACAGCTCTGAAAGTGTAGCCATCCCCCCTTTTTCAAGGGACCAAAAGTAATTGGACAATTTAATCAAAAGCTGTTTCATGGCCAGGTGGGGGCTACTAATTTGTTATTTCTTCATCAATTAAGCAGGTAAAAGGTCTGGAGGGGATTCTAAAGTGTGGTATTTGCATTTGGGATCTATCGCTGTGAACTTACATCATGTGTTCAAAGGAGCTGTCCATGCAAGTTAAACAGGCCATTGTAAGGCTTCAAACAAAAATGAAACAAATCCATCAGAGAGATAGCACCAACATTAGGAGTGGCCAAATGAACAGTTTGACACATTCTGAGGAAAAAAGAACACACTGGTGAGCTCAGCAACATAAAAAGGCATGGACCTCCACGGAAGACAACAGTGGTGGATGATTGCAGGATCTTCTCTATGGTTAAAAAACAACCCATTCACAGCATCCAGACAAGTGAAGGACACTCTCCAGGAGGTCGTCGTATCATTGTCAAAGTCTACAATCAAGAGAAGACTTCACGAGAGCAAATACAGAGGGTTCACCACAAGGTGCAAACCATTCATAAGCCTGAAGAATAGAAAGCCAGATTAAACTTTGCTGAAAAACATCTAAAAAAGCCAGACCAGTTCAGAAAAAGCATTCTTTGGATGGATGAAACTAAGATTAATCTGTACCAGAATGACGGGAAGAAAAAAAGTGTGGAGAAGAACAGCTCATGATCCAAAGCACACAACGTCATCTGTAAAACATGGTGGAGGCAATGTGATGGCATGGGTATGCATGGCTTCCAGTGGCACTGGGTCATTGGTGTTTATTGATGATGTGACAGAAGCAGCCGGATGAATTCTGCAGTCTTTAGAGATATACTGTCAGCCCAGATTCAGCCAAATGCAGCAAAGTTGATTGGACGGCGCTTCACAGTACAGATGGACAATGATCCAAAACACACTGCAAAAGCAACCCAGGAGCTTTTGAAGGAAAAGAAGTGGAATATTCTGCAATAGATGAGTCAGTCACCTAATCTCAACCCAATTGAGCATGCATTTCACTTGCTGAAGGCAAAACTAAAGGCAGAAAGTTCCACAAACAAAGAGTAACTAAAGACAGCTGCAGTTAGAGCCTGGCAAAGCATCAGAAAGGAGGAAACCCAGTTGTTGGTAATGTCCATGGGTTTTCCAGACTTCAGGCAGTCATTGCCAGTAAAGGATTCTCAACAAAATAATAAAAATGAACAATTTAATTATGATTATATTGATTTATCCAATTACATTTGAGCCCCTGAAAATGGAGGGACTGTGTATAAAAATGGTTGCAGTTCCTAAAATTTGTTCAACCCCTTGAATTAAAGTTGACAGTCTGTAACTTTTGACATAAAAAGGCTGCCTTTTGACTGCAGTTCAAATACACCTCAACAGGACATGCTGTGTCCATAGGAACGCAGCGCAACACAAAGCAGGTCAAACACAGTCTCTCAAAGTCAATGGGTTTTTCTTGACCTGCATTTGATGTGCATTCCAGAAGTGCATCAAACGCAGGAAAACAACACCCACCAATCTGAGCCCTTAGAGATCAAATGTCAACAACAATGTAATGTGAGAGCCCACCTACCTATTCCATTCAATGTGTATCTTATTAGGGATGTCTTTGCACCAAATATTTTTTAGTAAATTTATATAGGAGATTCTACCATCTGATTGTAATGTCTGTGACCATAAAGATAATTACAAAAAACCTCCTGCGCTCACAAGGACTCCTACCCTATAACCATAAGCTGCTGACACTAAGCTTATACCCAAAATAAGTGAATAAACAGTGCAAAAATTATGAGTGCAGCGCTAATTAGTATCTAATAGAACCGTAATACAATATATACTCAATCCCCAAAATAAATCCAAGATACTCAATACATATACAGTGTCATGCATGTATTCCCTCATGGGGAATAGCTCGTGCAAAAACGTGAAAATAAAGTAATATATACTATAATAACATATATACTAATAATAAGCAGTGCCACACAAAAAGTGCACAAAGGAATAAACGATAGTTCAAATACGAGAAAAGTCCAAAGTTAATAATAATAATAATAATACTGATGATGCTGTGCTTAATGATGAACTTCACACTCCACTCTTCATGCAAAATTATGTGCAGTGTACGTGATGCACACGTGACAATCCTTAACAGCCAAAATGCCCCCTCACCTCCTTCCTTAGACCCCAAGGGGCCAGCACTAGTTGCGTCACGCCCACTTCGTGACTTCATCAGGGTCTCTGATGAAGTCACGAAGTGGGCGTGATGCAACTAGTCGGTACGTGGGGAGGAGCTTCCGGTAATCGCGGTGACGTAATTTCCGGCGTGGGGCCCATATTGGAACAACCTGTGTATTACCCATGCAGTACACCCATAGCATGTGGTAGGAGGCTGGAAGATTCATCGTTTTGTGAGTGGAAATCTACTTTTTATACCTATTACCAATAAAATTACTGGTTGCACTATGGAGGGTCTCTGCTTGTGTCTTACTATGACCCTGGGAGGAGCTGGCTGCTAAACTGGAGGACGCTGGAGGAGGAAGATATTTTCTAGAGAGTGATCCATACTGATAGGATCGTGTGATCCTGAAAGCGTGCTGGCCCCTTGGGGTCTAAGGAAGGAGGTGAGGGGGCATTTTGGCTGTTAAGGATTGTCACGTGTGCATCACGTACACTGCACATAATTTTGCATGAAGAGTGGAGTGTGAAGTTCATCATTAAGCACAGCATCATCAGTATTATTATTATTAACTTTGGACTTTTCTTGTATTTGAACTATCGTTTATTCCTTTGTGCACTTTTTGTGTGGCACTGTTTATTATTAGTATATATGTTATTATAGTATATATTACTTTATTTTCACGTTTTTGCACGAGATATTCCCCATGAGGGAATACATGCATGACACTGTATATGTATTGAGTATCTTGGATTTATTTTGGGGATTGAGTATATATTGTATTACGGTTCTATTAGATACTAATTAGCGCTGCACTCATAATTTTTGCAATGTCTGTGACCAGCTTTACAGATTGGATGAGATGACAGACAGGAATGCTTTCTTTAAATAGAATAAATTCACTAATATACAACATCCAAGTAGAAATCATTTTTAATGAGCAGCTGAAACGTTGGTGTAATATTAATTTATTTGTTTTCTTTTTAAGCCAAAGGACATTGCTCATTTTTGGGAACTAGGAGGGGGACTATCTCTAATGGATTTAATAAATATACCCATCACCATTGAGAACATTAGGTAAGTGTTGCAATGCTTATGCAATTCTTATGGAAGTAGGGCTACTTAAGGTCTGTAGACATGACTTCCATGCCTTCCAGGAAGGTCTAAAGCTGCAAAGGTGAACTGGGAACAAGGCTTTGCCTTTCATTTCCCTCCTACTACATTCTATAGTGATGTAGGGGTCTGTGGGAGGAACCACAAAGCAAAGGTGAACTTGTATTTATTTATTTATTTATTTATTCATTACAGGTAATTACCATCAGTTTATGCAGCACTTCACATACTGTACATTCACAATAATCCCTGGCCTCAAAGAAACTTACAGTCTGAAGATACTATCTCACATTCACGCACATACTAGGGCCAAATTTAGGCTTACGCTAATAAACCTAGAAACATGTCTTTGGAGTGTAAGAGGAAACTGGAGTACTTGGAGGGAATTCATGCAAGCACAGAGAGGACATGTTACTTCATACAGATAGTATCCTGGCTGGGATTTGAACTTAGGACCCAAGGCAGCAGTACTAACCACTAAGCCACTGTGTTGCCCCTTATAAATGTTATTTTCTTCTACATACCTTTTGATCCCACGACCCATAGACTTGAGATTAGAGTTGCCCAGAGGGCAGTTTTAAAGTATTCCCCCTGAACAAGGAATTGTTGAATGAGTAGGGTTTTCAAAATATGCCAAGATATGACATACATGCTGGCTGCCTGCTAACATCTGCTGTACTGAACCCATTACATGCCCATACTGAACCTGTTACAGTGGATATGGGTAGGCTGCCGGGATATTGGTTACACAGCCCTGTCATTGGTTATGGTTTTCTAAGCTAGAAGCTGCTATGCCTGCTGCACCTTTAGGCTGTTATGTGCTATCTGATCCTTCAAGCCCCACTGCAGGATCAGTAGAAACATTTTTTTTATCTACAGTATATACCCATTTTTATTTACTTTAACCCGTAGTCATGTGACATTGCAGCCCCATGTCTTCTCTCCTGTTTACGTTTTGCTTTGGGTCCACCTTTAGGTGTCCACATCACTGCCTGTGTGGTTTGGACACTTCCTTTTGGATGGCTGCCAGCAAAGTCCTCTCAGGAGAGAGAAAAGGACTGATGTCATCACAGGAGGTCGGTTGGGAGCCAGTAGTCTCGGATGACAAGCAATGCTGGATTAGCAGTCCGCCGCACCGGAACAGATGGTGGGAGGGACCTAGATGGGGGATTTAGATGGGGGAGTACTGCTGGCTTCACATGGTAAGCGTTAAAAAAAAAGAAAGTAAGAGGAAATCTTCCAAAGTGAGGAGAATTCCCCTCTTGGACATATAGTCAGGTCCATAAATATTGGGACATCGACACAATTCTAACATTTTTGGCTCTATACTTTTGGTCCCTTAACAAGTGGGAGGCACATATGCAAACTGTTGTGATTCCTACACCGTTCACCTGATTTGGATGTAAATACCCTCACATTAAAGCTGACAGTCTGCAGTTAAAGCACATCTTGTTTGTTTCATTTCAAATCCATTGTGGTGGTGTATAGAGCCAAAAATGTTAGAATTGTCGATGTCCCAATATATATGGACCTGACTGTATGTTCTTGGCAAAAGGGTTTCCTTTGAAAGATATTCCTTCTCCTTTTGCAACAAATCTAAAGTCTTGGATTTCTCCTCATTTTCTCCCAAATAGGGACAGCAATGAAAAAAAAAACTTGACATCCTTTAATCCTTTCCCACTCTATCCAAAACTACAGAAAAGAAAAAGTAGTTTGGTATACGTACATTTTAAAACATGCATGGTATTCTGTAGAGGAGTGTGAGCAATATAATACAGCAGAAGGTGGCACTCCAGTTTTCTCCTGTCTTTCTTATCACAATGCACAGTTGATCATTTTAAATGGGTTCTCAGCTTGTCATTGTTTGTGTTTTATAAACTAAACCAATTTTTACTTTTCTTTCTTCTTTTTTTTAAGGACATTTTCTATAGTACTTGTTCTTGATCTTTCAAAGCCCAATGAACTGTGGCACACAATAGAGAAGCTCTTACCAATTACTAAGAACCACGTAGATAAAATTATAGCTGATATTGGGAAATCCAACTCTAAGGCAGCCAATCAGATTGTGCAAAATGTCTGGAGAAGTTTTCCAAATAACCATCCGGTATGTATATAATCTGATGAAGACTTCTTGGCTTGAGATATACTGTATGTATTAGGCATTGCTTTGCATGCTACAAAGGAGAAGGGTAATTGCCTCCAGCATTGCTTCTGTTCCTTCTTGCTGGAGGCCACCATTTTGTTGATGCCCAGAGCAGTCACTTACTTATTAAAAACTCTCCTGCTCACTTTGGTCTCAAAAACTAAATGTCACTTTCTGTAATTTTAATATGTACATTTCCAGTCTTTATTGTATGTCTTGGCTTAGCAAGAGAGGAAGGCTGACAGAAGCTTTACAGTTCTGAAGAGAAAATCAGGGATATAAGATAATACACTGTCCTTTGTAAGTTTTTTTGCCTCCCTGGTAGAAGAGTTTGTCTTGTCACCTCTTCTGCTTTTGTTTTCTCCCTCTAATCTGTGTTCTCTCAGCACTGTCTGAATCATTCCTTTTTGCTTTCTTCCCTCTTCAGGAACAGTAAGCCTCAAAGCTGTGAGCTGATCAGCCTCTAGTGGTTCTGATGTTAGGCGTAGTGCCCATATTAGAGAGCTACTGAGAATGTGCAGAGCAGGGTGAGAGCGTTACTGGATTGTAAACAGTGTAGGCACCTATTTTTTATGTTTTACATAGCTATACCTACACTTGGAGCCAGCCTGAAGTGATCTATTAGGACTTAATTTTCTGACTAAAGTTCCACTTTAAGGTGCTATTGGTAGGACTTAAATTGTGTTCTGCTCCTTCTGAAGTTTCTGCTATCTTAGCCTCCCTTATCACACAGCCCCCTGATTGCTGGTCCCCATTTCCGTTGTAAGGGTGTCTTCCTGGCTTTCAGGGTCCTGTGGAGCCCCTCTAGAGCCACCTCGCAGAGTACATGCTGCTTCCTGCACTGGACACCTGCAGTCAGCCAAGAGGAATAGAAACAATAATGTCCTGACAGGTTCACATATGCACAGGCGCTAGGATTGATGGGACATGTACCCCAATATGCTGGGGCTTTAGAACTACTTAGGTAAAGAGAACCTGTCCTCCATTCTCTGAAACTAAACATTTTTGTAAAAGGCTGCTTTTACTTCCCTTGTCCAGAAAAGTGTCTGAAGTTGTTTTTTGTTTGCAGTTTGTTAGTGAGGCCTGTGACTGTGGCTTTAAGTCCTTCCAACCTGTCCAATGAAAGTACATTGTTGGCTATTAAAGCCGCTCTCATTGGGCAGAGGATCAATATTGGGCTTTGCTGAAGAAGTGGCTTTAGACCACTTTTAGTAAACAGCAAGACAAAGGGGTTGATTTACTGAAACTGGAGAGTGCAACATCTGGTGCAGCTCTGCATAGAAACCAATCAGCTTCCCGATGTTTTTGTCAAAGCTGAACAAACTGAAGTTAGAAGCTGATCGGCTACCATGCAGAGCTTCACCAGATTTTGTACTCTCCAGTTTTAGCAAACCAACCCCACAATGATCAGTGTCTCCAGATATACAGGTGGTTGAAATTATATGTACTTTTCCTGTTACACTCACTGTGGCGGGGTTAATCCTCCACATTGTGTAAAAAAGCTGTTTGATCCAGTCTTCTCTGTTCCTCCCCTTCTTTTACTGTCCTCATTCCATCTGCTATATACTGCTGATGAGAAAAGGTATTTAACAGTTTATATTTACTAAAATAATGTCATTTCCATGTTTTGTGCACTGCGGAAGACCGGATATAATGAATGCAGGGTCCTGGGTTTAGTAACACTTTAAGGTCAATTACTCAGACATTCTAATGTTACCACAACTTAATAGATGACTGATAGATTCTACGTGTTTCTTGTTGCTGCTTTGTATACCTTACCTTGCAGTTGAACTGGCTGATTTCATGCTGTCATCTCCCATGATCTTTATGTATATATTTTTAAATCAAACAGGACAGAGAATTGATTGCTCCATTTCCATTGCCTTTACTAATTATTGGAAGCAAATATGATATATTTCAGGTAAGCTTTGTAATATAATGTGAGATGCTTGGTGACTATTCTCTAAAGCTTGCCATAAATAGTTCCTTTTTTTTTTTTGTTTCTTTGTTTTGTTTTTTCTTTCCGCCAGCTGTTGGAATGAAAAAAAAAACCTGACAGATTCCCCCATTCTGGAGGAATCTTCCCACCAGGACACTGTATTCTGATAGTAGAAGCTGCTATTGTCAAAATACACTGATCAGAGGATGTAGTTGTTGATTCTAACATGTCTCTTTACCAGAAGTCAGTTAAACAGCCGACTAATGTTAAGCAGGGGAGTCCACAACCTGATCAGAATTTGGCAGGTCCAGCAGAGACCCACTGAATTTCGATCAGTGTGTGACTAGCTTAGAGGGCTTAAGAGAGGTATTCCACTCACTATTAGAGATTTTCTCTTACTTCCTATTTTATTTTCAGAACATGAACTGAAAGTATATCTCCCCAATGGTACACAGACAGAAAAAATAACCTGGCAGGTGTTTTAACCTTTCCATATTCTATTTAAAACGTAAAGTTTTAGTTATGCATACACTTTAATAGAAACAAATGGCCACACAGAGAGATTTATTTAGCTGGTTCTGGTTCTAATTGTTCTATTTTCCTCCTCATTTCCTGACCCAGTGACAGTCTGTTACCAAGACAGGAAATGATGGTACTGAGGGATCAGCAACACTTTCTGTTGTCCAGTGGAGAAGGTTCAGAGCCTTTGATGCTTTCTTTGGCTTCCTGTACTGGTGACACACTATACCCCACATTTAATGATTTAAAGTAAAGCTGGCCATCGACCTTCTGCTGATTCAGCAAAATTCAATATTTGTATGGTCAGCTTTACTCTTCTCTTCTGGTAGTATAAAGTGAATTACTTTATGTGAATGTGTTTTTTTTTCTTTGATCTAATTGCATATTATCTACTCATTCTAGGATCTCGAATCTGAAAAACGAAAAATTATATGCAAAACTCTTCGATTTGTATCCCATTTTTATGGAGCCTCTCTTTTGGTTTGTATTGCAAACTGATTTACAGATTTAAAGTGTCATTAAACCCAGATTATGAAAAACTGTCAGTGTGCATACTCACAAAGCCACCCAAGCATTTGTTTTGTGTAGATTGAAATATACCTGGTCAATCCTGCCTTCAGCTGTCCCTCCCATCTTCTGTGTCCCCATTGCAGGCTGAGATTGTGTAGACCAGCTGGTGTCCTCTACTGAGCATGCTTATATTTCAGTTACTTTCTAAGCTCTTCATTTGCTACTTTTTCTTTTCTGTGCAGCCCACATCACTGTAGAGTCACACATGTGGGTGTAGACACAGTGGTCAATTACACTCCCTTCCCTTCCTCCTCCATGTCCTCCTATTTCTAAACCCCATGGGGGGGGGGTGGGATATAGTATACTGATTGATTACAATCACTAAGAAACTCACAAAAACACTTAGTTTTAATATAAATCTGTATTAAGTAAATCAAATGTAATTGCTAATAAAGTAAAAAAAGAACATTGGATGCAGATGCCATCTGACCAAAATGAAAGCTAATGTCAGTCATCTTTGTCTCCACTTACACCACATTAATGCGCAAAAAAATACACATTCGATGTTCAATAAAGAGTTATAGGGAGCTATCAAATAGTTTTTTGAGATTTATAATTTAATCTAAATAGCTCTTCTGAAGCTGACACAGCACCAAAAAATAACAAAATACAGGGGCATGATATGTATGATTTATGTGAGTGAACTATGGCAAATAACACGTTTCTGTTTAGTATCACATTAAGAACATGTTAGATAATTTTCTATACTCACTATTCACTCCAGCTCTGCGCTGTCCCAGAGCTCCATGCCAATTACTTTTATCTTTGGCCAGGCTGCTTCCGGGGACCAATCTCCAGCCATTTTATTTGGCATAGTAGCCAGCAATGATCATTGTGTTCTTTCGGCAGGGAATGCTCCCCGCCGGCAAAACACAATAACTTTGGGAGCGAAATCAAGCGATTTTCTTTCCTGCAACCTGTGGTGGAAGGAAATAAAATTGTATAGTCTATGGCAGTGTTTTTCAACCTTTTTTGTGCAAAGGCACACTTTTTTCATGAAAAAAATCACGAGGCACACCACCTCAATGCATAGTAATTCATCCCCCCTATAGTAATTCATCCCCCATAGTAATTCATCCCATATATAGTAAATTCCCCCATAGTAATTCATCCCCCATATTAATTCATCCCCATATTAAGTCCCCCCAAGCCCCCCCTGTGTCAATTCACTTACCTTTGCTCCGCGCGTTCCTCTCGCCGTTCCGGTGTAGCATGAAAATCTGTCTCCTATGAAGATCTGTCCCCCTCGACGTATCTGCGCATGTGCCAGTTTCAGGCATTAGCAGCCGATCGCGATCTCCGGCACATGCGCAGATACGTCGAGGGGGACAGATCATCCTGACAGTATCACGCTCCGCGGGCCGGATTAAAAGGTCCGCCGGGCCGTAGTTTGCCCATTGCTGTTCTAATGATTGGTCTATTTGTGAGCCGAGGCCACATGTTACGGATGAAATTGCAATTTTTCCCACGGCACACCAGACAATATCTCACGGCACACTAGTGTGCCGCGGCACAGTGGTTGAAAAATGCTGGTCTATGGCTTGCTTTATTCCTCATATTAAAGCCCAGCTCCAACCTTAGGCAAGGATTAGAACTGTGATCAGTTTGGGGAGAATTCCCCTCATTTCCTGTCTACCTAATAGTAATCAGACATGACAGGAAATCTCCCTGAACGGGGGGACACTGCAGTAAAAGGGTATCTAGTAGAATAAGGACTGGCTACAACCTATTTTTTTTTAATGGATTTTTTTCTCTGTTCCTGTCCAGTTGATAGGATCAGACAGGGTAGAAATTCAAGGGAAATGTCCTCACTGGGAACACAGACAGTAATTAAAGGGAATCCCCACGCTATCCAAAAAAAATAAAGTTTGACTGAAGCTTGACTTTCATGTTTAATCTGAAGAATGTTAATACTAGGAGCTGACAGTAGTGAATTTCTAATTAAATTGGTGATATAGAAACTTTCACAGGATGATATCTATTCTTTTTCAGTTCACAGCAAGACTGAATCCCATAAAGGAGTTATGCGTTTGTTTGTGAATCACTTGGCCTTTGGACAAGATAAAAGGTATAGAAACAAAGCATTACAAAAGAATACATCCAGTATGTACAATTGGTGTTTGTAGTTTTTTTTTATTTTTTATTTTTATTTGGTATTTGTATTTTAGCCATGTGGATATGAGATATTGCCTATAAATATTTTATATCTACCACTTACATCCAGCAGATAGGGAATCTAGGCTAATATAGTCTGTGTAATGATGTTTTGTTAAAAGCCTTAATAGCCCCTGTAATTCCATCTGCTGCCGTTCACACACAACTGAATGAGACAGAGAAAAGTTACTTATCCTTGTATGGCCCCATGTGAAATTTCAGATAGAGAAAAGCAGTCAAAAAGTGAGCATCCAGTGTGCTTTGCAATAGAAGTGTCATGAAAGCATTAAAGGAGATACACTATATTGCAAAAAGTATTGGGACGCCTGAATTTACACACACAGGAACTTTAATGGCATCCCAGTCTTAGTCCGTTGGGTTCAATATTGAGTTGGCCCCGCCCTTTGCTGCTATAACAGCTAAAACTCTTCTGGGAAGGCTGTCCACGAGGTTTAGGAGGGTGTCTATAGGAATGTTTGACCATTCTTCCAGAAGCACATTTTTGAGCTCAGGCACTGATGTCCGTTGAAGCTGTTATAGCTGCAAAGGGTGGGCCAACTCAAAATTGAACCCTACAGACTAAGACTGGGAGGCCATTAAAGCTCATGTGTGTGTGTAAAGGCAGGCATCCAAATACTCATGGCAATATAGTGTGTTCGGGGGTTTTAAGTCATTTTTTGGAGAAAAAAAAATGCTAATGTTTCCATATATAAGAAAAAGGTCAGAACTGGCCTGGACAGGAACTAGCTAAAGTAGAACTTCAGCTTCCATTTTAAGCTTGTGCTGAGTGACTCCCATCTCTGCTGTCGGCACATAGTGCTGGTTTCGTCTTTCAAATTCCCCAGTACTTACCTGAAAAATCTATTTTTGGGTGTAAAATATTTTGTTATTTGTGATAAAAATGTGTGTACTGAAATACTATTATGAAAAGCCTCGCACCAACAACTACTAAGCCCATTTTCAGAAATTGTAACTGGCTATATATGGCAGTTTATTTACTTAAAGCGGAGCTCCACCTAAAAGGGGAAGTTCCTCTTTAAGTACTGGTCCCCGCTCCCCTTGAGGAATTTGCACCTTTGGGGAGCTGGAGGGGGAAGCAGGAACCTGATTTTGACAGGTACCCGCTCCCACTTCAACTGCGATCACCTTGGCATTCGGAAGCGGAAGTGTCCCCCCCCCCCTCGCACATGTGTAATAGGCAACCGGCTGTGAAGCCACTGACGCTGGGCGGCGAGACGACCAGTGAAACTAGCTGCAGTGAGGACACCGCTGTATCATGGGACCGGTAAGTGGCTGTTTTTTTAAAAGTCAGCAGCTACAGTTTTTGTAGCTGCTGACTTTTATTTTTTTAGCTTTGACTGGAGCTCCGCTTAAATGTGAGACTTCATGCCCAGGTTCTTAACCTAAACATCACCGAAAGAAAGTGATCGAAAGGCAGCAGTAAATGCAAAGTAGAAATGGGTTTGAGATTTCTCTCCAGCAGAGCTAAATGTGTAAGTGCTTGGCTGCTCTCATATAATGGAACATCTGAGAAGGTTACAAGTTTAGCCTTGGGGAAATCCAACTGAGTCAGTATGGATTTTATCTGCAGAGCAATGAGAAAAAGCTTTAACGTGTTTAGTGTTTTTCCTGTTTGCCTGGTGGAACATAAAAGGGATTAAGAGGCAATAGTAAACTTTGAAGGATTGACTTCAGTCATTATGTTTCTATGTAACGCACTTCAGTTTGCCAAAAATGTACATCAGGCTAGAGGGTTGGCTATGAAGGGGAAGAATAGTCATAGAATACAAATGGGCAAAGGAGAATGAAGGTTCTTTTCAATGAGGAATTATTTGAGCATGTTGGTTCTTTTAGTGTTTATTGGTTAGGTTTTTGTTTTTTTTACAGTATTTGTAAGACTTGTGAAATGTTAAAGATTTGCATTGCTCAAACAGACCTCCAAGCCCCACCCCATTAACCTCCTTGGCGGTATGATTCTTTCCAATTTTTTGTGCTGAAAGCGGTACCATTTTTTTGCATGGAAATATGTAGTTTTTTATTGTAGGCTGTAATTTTTAGGAATAACTCACTGAAATCTGTCCGAACAAGAGTCTAGTAAACATCCCGGATATGATAAAACTTGAAACACGAAATCATAAATTATAATTTCATAAATAATCATAAAAAATAATAATATAATAATAATAAATTTAATTCAATAATATAATCAAACCAAAAACACTGAAATTTGAAATACAGAGGCAAATTCACACATCGCTGAGCAAAGTAGCAAAATCGTTTTCAGTGTCTGATGACGAATTTCCCCACAAATCATTATCACTCAATCCTGCAAGTGGTTCTGATTTACTATCGCTGTTCTAAAACCACTTTTGACGTAAAGGAACGCTTTTTGGACGCCATGGACTTTTCTACGTTTCCAGGCAGAAAGAACAGTCAAAATGCAGGCAGGGCGCAGGACAAAGCAGTAGGGACAAAATATATGTGAAATGCATTGAAACAGCAATGACAGCAAAAATGAAATTTTTTAAAAATTTCAAATTTCCCGTCGGCTCCGGCGCCCGTACGTCTCAACGTCACAGGGACCGGAACACGGAAGCCGGATGCCGGCATTGGCCGGAGGAGATGGCCGGGACGCTGCAGGGGACACATCGCAGGAGCGAAGGACAAGGTAAGTGCTGCAGGGACCCCTTGAGCAACGCCGCATGGTAAGCCCGAGTGTAGCTCGGGGTTACCGCTCTTGGTATTGAAATTTTACCCCGAGCTACACTCGGGAATACCACTAAGGAGGTTAAGGCCTCATTCACACAGGCTTACCTTTGTGTACACCCATGCAAAGGGCTGTCTTTGCCTGCACAAGATGTACAGAAGTTACATGCAGCTGCATCCATGTAACTCGATCCCCTCATGTTTTGCATTGTATTGGTATTGTTCTGTCACATGTTCTGTCCCCCTTTGTAATGTACAGCGCTGAGTGAACTATTGGCGCTTTATAAATACTGTATTATAATAATAATAATGTATGGCCGCCCTTTGTCTCTACATTTAGCAAAGGGCTAAACAGAGATTTTGCTACAGAAGTCTATCAGATTTTTTTAATTCTCGCTGTGCTGAACAGAATGATGACATCTGATGGACTACTGTTGGAAACATCTTCCTTTTTCATCTGGCTGTTTACTGTTCTTACTACTGCAGCCTCAACATGATAAATGTATTATTTAATTATTATTATTTTTCAGCAAACTTGTGTCAGTTGATCACAACAAGCCGCTGGTCATTCCAGCTGGAATGGATTCCTTCAGTCAGATTGGTGAGTTTGGTCATCACTCTTTTTACCTTCATTATAAAAAAGGTATATTCTAAGGCAGCTAAATGTCTTCTGATATTTAGGATCACCCCCTGCATCCGATAGTGACCTGAGGCAGATTCACGTGCGCACCCCCATGGAGTTATGGAAGAAGATTTATGAAAGACATTTTCCTGCCATGGTAAATTGTATTTATTGAATACAAGTATTTGCATACTGTACATTCACATCAGTCCCTGCACTCAAGGAGCTTACAATCTAAGGTCCCTATCTTACGTGCATGCATATATGCCCTAAATCCATTTAACTCACCAGAATGTCTTTAGAGTGAGGAAACTGGAATACTAAAAAGAAACCCAGTTAAGCACAGGGAGAACATGCAAACTCCATGCAGGTGATGCCCTCTTTGGAATTCAAAACTGAGGAGCCCAGTGCTGTAAGGCAGTAGTGCTAACCACTAAGCTATTGTGATTTTATCTATTTATATTTGTTGAATCTAGTTGTCAGACTTGTTATTAATAAAACCTATAGTAAATGTTTGCTGTTCCACAGGAGACAGCTTTTCAAGCTATTACTCAGTTTGTGCCATTGATTTTCCTGCATGGTGGTGGGTGGGAAGTGTCTCTTCTGCCCTCTTTTTATGAGAGTTTTGCAGCAGAAAAACATCTCACTGATCATGAAAATATTTCTCTGTAACAAAGCTGCTGTTATAAGTGAAACTTTGGTCCTTGGTGTGCATTTCATCTTGCATTTCCCTACAGCTTCTTTAGCGACATAACCATAGCAAAGTTGTAAATTTGTCCCTTTCTTATTCATTCCCAACAAGTTCTAATTCTTTTGTTGGGAGAGAAATAACTTTAATTTTGTAGCGGATGTGAATATGTATAGTTTTAGGTATTCAGATGTGTCATTTGAAATCATTTTTAATTGTTGATTGTTTAGTAGTAAACATTTTTTTCTATAATTTTAAAACGGAACTTCTCCCAAAAGGGGAAGTTCCACTTTTCTGCCGCGTCCTCTCCCACTCCTCTACCGCTTTTGAAAATGTTTACTTTTTGGGGGGAGTGGGTACCCGGTTTTGACAAGTACCCACTCTCAGTTCTGATCGGATCGTCTAGGCAGTCTAATTGGAAGTTGCTCTATCTTTGCCCTCAGCCTTCTGGAACACGTCACATGTCCAGAAGGACCATTCACAAAGTGCAGCGAAGCTTATGTATGCACACTGGGAAGCCGGCTGTGATTCTACATAGTGCCACAGTCATCTTCCCTTAGTAAACATGCTAGCGCCAGGGACCCGAAGACCGGCAAAGAACTGGCCAATGTGAGGACAGCGCTGGATCCCTGGACAGATAATTGTCCTTTTATTAAAAATCAGCAGCTACAGTATTTGTAGGTGCTGACTTTTATTTTTTTGGGGGGAGGGGGGGCTGAAGATCCTCTTTAACCTTAGAATTAAGTTTGAAAGGTTAACAGCTGGATAAAAAGGAAATAAAAAAAAAATAAACTTTCTGGTAATTTTTTGTGATATTACTTTTAAAGTGCAGCTAAACCCAAATAACAAATATGCAATATATTGCAGCTTATCAGTCCTTAGGTCCTTAGATGTGGCAGCTACGTTAGTTTTCTTTTTTTCACGCTTGTTTTCACTTTATTTCCACTTGGTCTTGCCAGTAACACACTTCCTGTGCTAAGGTGACTATGTTCACTCAATAGAATGTATCTATGGAGGAGCAGTGTTCTATGGAGGAGCAAGGTTGACATCTTAGGCTGATTTTCTGATTTGGACTTCAAACACATCCCACTCTCCTTACTCCATTGCATAAAGGGGCTTTGCTTTGTAGTCCATAGAAGATAGCTGGGAAAGCTGATGATGTTGTTTGAGATGTCAGTTCAGTCCACAGGAAGTTACAAGACACTAAATTTCATGAGATCAACAATTTTTATGTACTAACAGAAAATGCACTTAGGTTTAAAAAGAAAACTAATGCAGCTACCACAAAGACTAGCAAGCTGCAATATATTACATTATTTTTCTTAGTTTAAACATCCTTTAAATAATAAGTGCATACCTAGATATTTTCCCCAGAATATTGTCCTAATGTTTCCTTAGTACAAGGATGCATTGGGGTTGATTTACTTAAACTGGAGAGTGGAAAATCTGGTGCAGCTCTGCATAAAAACCACTCCCCTTCTTCTTCTTTTTTTTTTTTTTTTTTGTCAAAGCTTAATTGAACAAGCTGAAGTTAAAACATGATTGGCCACCATGCACAGCTGCACCAGATTTTGCACTCTTTAGTTTTAGTAAATCCAACCTCATTTGTGTATAATATAATTTAGTGTAGTGGCAAAGCTAAAATCAAGGTTCCCCGTTCAGCTTATGAAAGCTTATTTTTCTTGCAACATCAGAACTTGTTCCAGATCAGTGACTTTTAAAGTATTGGAGCGATAGGATCAACAGGGTAACCAGGCAGTTAACATCTTCAAAAGGAGGGAATCAGCACTGGCAACCTCTCAATACAATTTTCCTTAATATGTCATACAGGCAATGTAGAGACAGATCGTTCAGCTGTGGAAATCTTTAAAAAAGTTAATCTATAAAAAAAATTAACAGTATTTCAAATGAAAAGTAAATGAAACAGGCAATCCTAAAATCAGTCATCTGACATTGCCCACTATGTATTATATTCAGGTCCCGAATAGCTTTGTACGAAGAAAAAATCTTTTTGGCTGGCCAGATCTGATTGTAGCCTTATCTACAATTATAGTGATTAGTTTTATTGCAGTTTTATAGTACAGTACAGTAATGTCATTTCGACATGTTTCCTGTGTTCAAGGCTGTGCACAATTAAGACACAAAACAAAAACCGTGCTAAAATATGAGTACATTTTTCAATTTTCTTGATAAAGATTTCTGTTGATGCCTGCATACAAAAGGTGATCAACCCCATGGGAGATCCTCATCACTGAATTACTTAAATTGGCTTGAAACACATTACTTATGACTCGGAATAGTAAATTGATTGATGCCTTTACAGTACATTTGGATTTAAAACAGAGCTAAAGGCACAGAATGATTGTTAATGTTTCTTGTTCCCTTTATACCCCTGTACCAAAGGTAAATGCTACCTACAACTGACATTACAAATAGAACTCAAGTTAACATAAAGAGGAATATGCTCAGGAAATGTAGTAATAATAATAATAAAAAACAATTTTTGCTGCAGTACTTGCCTTCAGTCAGGAACTGACACTTACAGTGCTTGGTTTCCACCACTAGATGTCACCATTCTTCCTGGTCAGCATCATTCATCTAACTTTCTGTGAGCTCAGGCTGTCACAGGCCCGCCCCCTAGGAGGATGTCTAAACACAGCCTGGGCTCACAGTACTCTGGGAATGAGTGACACTAACATATCATTTTGTGACCCAGTCTAAGAAAAGGACTGCCCACCACTGTTGCTGGGGGGAAGAAAGGAAGGGTACCCGAGAGTACATTTAGGTTACAGACCCAGAACAAGCATGCTGTGAATAAGTGTCAGAAATGAAATGTCAAAAGCAGATGGAGAAAACATCAAAATACAAATTGTGTAACCAACCTTGTTGTCATCAACATATAGGGGTTTATTTACTAAAGCTGGAGAGTCCAAAATCAGACTCCCTTCTGCATAGAAACCAATCAGCTTCCAGGTTTCATTGCCAAAGCTTCATTGAACAAGCTGAGGTTAGAAGCTGATTGGTTTCTATGCAGAAAGGAGTCTGATTTTGGACTCTCCAGCTTTAGCTTTAAATAAACCCCATAGTGTCTCATCCTTTTTTGTAAGGTGTAGTCCATTACAAAAGTGAGTAGAATGAATCTCTGTAACCATGTTTCTACATGTGCCTCTTATAGGCATGGGCAAACAATTATCACTGAATGGCCATCCCTCCTCACTATGGCAAAGCAGGTATGAACCAGGAGAAAGATGTTCAGCTCCTATGAAGGCCTCCTTCTGGCGTCATGGCACTGCCTGTCAGTTGCAAGACTTGGGAAGAGATGGTGCAGGGCTGTTCAACCTCTACCTACCGCAATAGATCACTGCTTTAGTTATCTATTACTTGCTTCCACACAACAATACATCACTTTTAGAAGTAATCTTTTGTTGCGAAAGTTGCGTAGGGGAGGCTGGATCACGTCTCAACCAACCGGATTCAAACATTCCCCCATGAAGAAAAAACATGGATAACATTTTAATCATCAAACTTGGTCGTTTATATTTTGAAATGGCTATCTGGGGTTCCCAAATTACATTAACAAAATAATTTTTCTCTTTTTTTTCCAACTATTTCTTCTTAGTAATTAAGTCTAGTAAGTAAACATACATATAATCAGATCCACTGCTAAATTAACCACTTGATGTCCAGGGCATGTATTTTTTTTTATTTTTTTTTTTTTATTCTTGTTCAATATTTTTATTGTGCATTTCAAATGCAAAAATGGTACAAGGGTTGCATGAAGAAACTACCAATTACAGTTATCAAACAGAGTAGTTAGGACAGGTTTTTACATTTTTCATACACATATTAAAATCCAAAATTGTTTTGGTAGAAAATTCTTAGAACTCCCAAAGATTATATATTCTCTGAAAGCAGAGGCCCTGGAGAATAAAATGGTGGCTGTTCTACAATATTTGCATTTGCATTCTGCCATTTATCAAGGGAAATTTTGAGAAAAATATACACCAAAATTTTAGTGCACACAAATTATTTGGTAAAATATAAAAGATGTGTCGAGTAAATAGATACCAAACATGGTCAAAATGGCGACAAATTACAGTACCTAAAAGTTTTCATAGGCGATGCTTTAAAAATCTTAACATGTTATTCAAAGAAATAAAAATGTGCAAAAACTTTGCGAATGAAAAATTATAAACTTTGTGTCTGGAAGAAATATATATATATTTAAATAAATAAAAATATTAGTAAAAAAATACAAATATTATAAAAAATCAATAAATTCACTGTTGCTACTTAAACCCCACTCATATATATACAATGATAAACTTTGTGTCTGGAAGAAATATATATATATATTTAAATAAATAAAAATATTAGGAAAAATACAAATATTATAAAAAATCAATAAATTCACTGTTGCTACTTAAACCCCACTCATATATATACAAATAAATACCCAAACAACAAAACTATTTTTGTACATGTGGCAGTCAGCAATTGGGTAAAGAAAAATAATTTTTTGCTTATTTCTCACTATTTTGTTTTACAAAATATATCTAGACCTGCAAAAAAAAAACCCCTATCTGTTCAGAAAAAATATGGAAGGAATCAAAACATCTTCAAAATGAAAGAAAAATGCTGAAGGGGATATAGGAAAAAATGTCACAGGGACTCAGGTAGTTAATCCTGTCCCCTTCCATCTTCCTTGTCTTACTATTGGTCGTTGAGACCACTTATTGTAGTATGGAGGTTTAGGTGGCGGAAGTTTCAAGGACATGTAGCCACTTTGAAGAACCTGTCACTTTACTAGCTTCAGCAAGTATGCAGGTGTACTTTACAACTAAATGTGTTTTTTTTTTTCTTTTCTGTAGAAAACAGATGATGTCAAAGATATAAAGGACCCAGCAAAAGATCCACAGTATGCAGAAAGGGATGTTGATGCTATGAGGATCCAAAAGGATCAGGTATGTGTCTGTGTAACCTTATGTAAGTTTCTGTGAGAGGTAACTATCGGTCATCTGCAGTTATCTATATAGCCATGTACAGGACTGGAAATAATTGTTTCACAGCTGAGGTTGTCTTATCGACCAAAGATAAACTGTGTAATAGTTTACATGCCATGAACCTGTGTCTCAAATACATTTCTGAAAGATTGTAAAAAGGGAAACATGCTACGGGTAACGGCAAGAGGGACAGAAAATTTTTTATGTTTTTTTTAAAAAAGCATCCCTGTCCATTAAGATGTGGCTGCTGTGTGTTCATTCCTGTTAGCAAATACTAAGCTAGTATATGGAGGAAAAGAGTTAATTAAAGAGGTAAAGATTGCAGTTAAATTAAATTGAGATTAAAGATGATTACATGGGAGAAGGGAGGATGAGGATACCTTTTTACACATAGGGAAATGTGAACTGGTAGGACCCTTGATGATCCATTATAGCTATCAAATATGGACACAATAGGGGAAAATTTGATGGGCTATATATGTAGCGTTTTTCGTTTACCTGACCATATCAAAAATACTGTGGTATTTTATAACCAAACTTAAACTAAAATGTCAAACAGATTTGATCATTGGTTCCTTCCCCTTGCAGTTGTTCTACCAAGAACAGCTATAATTGTTCTGATTGTAGAAATAACAATAGTTGTACGGAAACAAGAAAGAGCTTTTTAATGTTATTTAGCATATATTAATGTACGCTTTCCAAAAATGATCAGTTGTGCATTATGTCATCACCTGTGGACTGTCAAAGTACCACCTGCACTTTTAAAAGTTAACATTTTCTCATGATGGTCTTCAAACATCCTTTGTTGCAGCTGTGCATACGTTTCTATTTTGTATCATGTGATAGTGTCACTTTGTGTGGGTTCTTTAATTTTGTGAATTGCATCAGGACTAGCAGACACTTTAGAAAAGAACATTAATTCTTGACTGGTTGCTTGCTATTGTACTAAAATCCAGTAGATGATTTGAAATTAGATTTATTGTTTAAAGTGGTTGTAAACCCCTGACATTTAATATGAACGAAACATATCCCATATCCCATATTAACATATATCGAAACATAAGATCTTACTTGAACTGAGGGAGAGGAACCAGCTATCACCATCTGCAGCACATGTCGTGGACTAAACTCACATCTTCTACAAGCAGCACCGCTGCTATTCATCTCTCTGCTGGGTAAGGAGCGTATGTAAGCTGTAAGGAGAAGTCCACAGGCCACCTACCAAGGGATCATACAGGAATATCCAGGAGCTCTGGAGGGAGGTTATCACACTGCAGACCTTATCCTGACCAGCTGATGACCCAGAGGGGAATTTATATTGACAAAACGCTCATTTTACTGTGCGTTCTGGTGAGTGTGCATTCCTTCAGCACTATTTCGCACAGCGCCTGAGCATCAGGAGGATATGAAATAGAGGAGAGCACTTGAAGTCACCTTATTCTATGAACTGATGCATTTATTGATTTATGTATTATTTATTTATTTATTTATTTGTTATCTGATGCACATATTCGCCTTACATAGTACTCCTTTTTTGTAGCGCTGCATCTTATGATATATATAGTAAGAAACAATCGATAACATATAAACAGAACATGGAGAACGGACCAAATAGTGTTTCTGTGAACAGAATTACAGGGTATAAAAATAATAGCTTCCACTTAAATGCCCATTTCCCCCCCTAAGAGAAGCCCTGATGGAAGGGTTTAAAACTGGGCAGTGTGGTGGCATTGAGTTTATAAATCCACTTCAGTTCTTGTTGTAGAAGGGAATTATTGAGGTTGCCTCCCCTTGGGTTAGAGTGAACCCTATCTAGGGCAAAAAATTGCACTCTTGGGGTTATGTTGCCATGTACCAAGGCAACATGGTGATCTAGTGGTAGTTTGGTGTCTCCTATGCATATGCTAGCTACATGGCAATAGATGTGTCTCCATAATTCCATCTTATTCTTCCCAACATAGAAGCATCCGCACTCAAACTGAGTAGGTAAACTACCCCTACCCCTGCAGTTGTGCAATTTGCGAAATGCTTAGGATGGAACAGCTGTCCATTGGGAAACATGGAATTGCAGATCCAGAAAAGTACAGTAGGAACATGCTCTGCATTGGTATGTACCAAGTTTCCTGCATGAGTCACCCCTGGTCTCCCCTAGGAACGTACTGTGAACCAGCCTATCACCCACAGAGGGGACCCTCCTGTAGCTGATGGCTGGCTGGTCATAGACCATAGGATCCACAGAGGGATCCATGATCAAAAGATGCCAATAATTGTTAATGATACTTTTAACCTATTTGTATTGATTAGAAAATGTGGTAATAATTCTAGTTGTCTCATTCTGTTTAGCTTTTTTCTTAGAAAACAACAGGTTATGGCGTGATAATTTGGACACTTGTCTATATGCCTTTTTTAAGGGAGGTGTTTGTGTATCCATGTTCCAAGAGGTGTGTTCTTAGAACATCGGTTGCTTTTTTGAAGAGTGGATCATTTGAGCAGTTCCGTTTTGGCCCTAAAATATTGGCTTTATGGGATAGATGCAACAAGTGATTGAGGGTGGAAACTCGTTTGCAGAAGAGTTCACTGAATATCTGACCATCTTCCCCTTTCTGAATACGTACATCAAGAAAAGTGATTTCCGATTTACTGAAGGACATGGTGAAATGTACGTTGCAATCATTGTTATTCATGAATGTAAGACATTTCTTCAGTGAATCCTCCGAACCCTAACACAGGACAAAGATGTCATCGATGTAGCGGTACCACACGATGTGCTGTGTTCAGCATACATCGAGAAATCATTGTCCCTTAACAACAGACGCTCCCACTCCCCCAGGTACAAGTTGGCATAGCAGGGGGCACAACAGGTCCCCATAGCCACACCCTGCACCTCAAGGAAGTGGGAGGCGTTGAAGGAGAAGACATTGTGCCTGAGAATGTAATCTAGAGAGCAGAGAATGAACTCGTTCAACTGCAGTTCATGTTGGCTTCTCTAGAATAGGACATGCTGTATCTCATAGAGACCCTGATTGTGTGGTATGGAGCTATATAGGGCTTCCACGTCGATGGTGGCCAGTAAAGTATCACCACTGACGTGAGTTCCATCCATAATTTGTAATAGGTGTATAGTGTCTGGGACATAGGAGGGCAAACTGATGACAAAGGGTCTAAGGTGGGGATCTACAACCTGCCTTAGGTTCTCAGTTATGGCTCTTCTCCCGGACATGATGGGTCTACCCGGGATGTTCGATGGATTCTTGTGTACCTTCGGAAGGGCAAAGAACGTGGCCACCCTAGAGAAGCCCGTTCTAACGAACTCCCAAATGTCTTTGGAAATGATGTTGTCATAATATGCTCTATCCACTAGAATTCTTTGTTGTACACATCAATCAGGGATTTCCGTATCAGTCAATACCACTCTATTTGCTAGAATCTTATTGCACATATGTACGTATTTTTCGTTGTCCATCATAACAACATTGCCCTCCTTGTCAGAGGGCTTTATTGGTATTGTGTTACTTTTGGCAACAGTGTTTCATGGTAATTTTTCACCTATACTGAGATTACTTGTCCCAGGGTTGGTCACCTTAAGCTTCTGAATATCCTTACTTACCAATTTATGGAAAGTGGCAGCATTATGATTGGAGCTGTCTTGAGGGAATTTATCTGATTTCTTTTTCAGGGTGTTAACTGAAGTACTAGGCACTGATTCTGGGGGTTGATCCTCCGCTGTACTTAGTAGAGTTTCAAAATCAAGTGTATCAACTAAATTGACCGATTCATTGTCACTTAGCAGGGAGATCAAGTGTTCAAGGGCACGAGCATCCCTGCTAGTGCCAACACAGTCTTGGGAAGGTTGTTTCTTGGCATGCAAGCTTTTCACGATTAGATTGCGAGCGAAAGATGCAAATCTTTTATAATTTCAAATTTATCCAGTTGATGATTAGGGCAAAAGGTAAGGCACTTAGACAAAACACTGATATCATCAGAGGAGAGATGGTGAGATGACAGATTTACAATGTTCAATGTGGTTTGTTTGATTTTTTTTCATCTTTTTAACATACATTTTCAAGTTTCTGACGTGTTACTGTGTTTGCATGTGCTTGCCCTAAAAAAGTAGTCCTTTGTGTATGGGGGGGATTTGAGCCCTCCATATTAGTACTGGGTATAGTGGTGTGAGAAGACCCAACACCTGTAGAAGCAGAAGCATGGGAAATGACCATATCACCACATGCATTGTTCAGGGAATTTATCCCCTGCAAATTACCTGAATGTGTAGAAGAAAAGTGTTCAGTATAAGAACTGTCGGATGAAACATTACCAAGGCGGCTACGTTTGTGCTGGTGGGAGGAAGACTGGGAAGAGAAGGAAGACATGCATGAAGATACAGGTAAATATCATCAATTCTAGGTAAATACTGTCATTATGCCCATTACTTACATTATGTTCATGGTGCCATTTATAGGCATTGTCCTGAAATGCTCTCTTGTCCCTCTGAAACTTTTTCTCCTTTTTAATTACCGTATTTGCCGGCGTATAAGACGACTGGGCGTATAAGACGACCCCCCTACTTTTCCTGCTAAAATTTAGTGTTTGAGCTATACTCGCCGTATAAGACTACCCCTCTTCCAATGCACACCAGTGGCAGGAATAGTGCCCCATCATTGGTATCAGTGGCAGGAATAGTGCCCCATCATTAGTATCAGTGGGAGGAATAGTGCCCCATCATTGGTCTCAGTGGGAGGAATAGTGCCCCATCATTAGTATCAGTGGGGGGAATAGTGCCCCATCATTGGCATTAGTGGCAGGAATAGTGCCCCATCATTAGTATCAGTGGGAGGAATAGTGCCCCATCATTGGTCTCAGTGGGAGGAATAGTGCCCCATCATTAGTATCAGTGGGGGGAATAGTGCCCCATCATTGGTATCAGTGGCAGGAATAGTGCCCCATCATTAGTATCAGTGGGG